CACAGACAGAGACAGAGACAGAGACAGAGACATACGGGCAGACAGACAAACAGACAGACAGGCAGACAGACAGGCAGGGGGCGACCCTGTAGCCCCTCTCTGGTCGCACAGCCCCCCTTGCCGGCGCGCGGGGCGAGCGGTTGATCCATGCTCGGAAGAGCCGGGTTGCCCGAGGCAGAAGCAGTCCATGTGCAGCGATATCCTCGCTACTTCGTGGGTATGGGATGTGGAGACGCTCATATATTGCTTGGTGTTCAGCGGGTCCACCCGTAATTCTTCCGACCGAGTGGCAGATGTTACCCGCGTGGCCCTGTTGGCGGCACTGCCCAAAGAAGCGTCTGAATATTATGTTAAGGTTATTGAAAGAAAACATACTTTGCCACACGCTTCTCGACTACGCCATCACAAATTGATGTTCGTATTTGGTTTCTGCTCTTATGAATGGGTTTTCGGCCAAGTCCGCCATTGTGTTTGGTCTTTGGGTCCGAAGCCTGCTAGATGTCAGGTGGGGTCTCCAGAGGGGCCCTCGGGGGCCTATTGGGCGATTGGCCTGGACTCCTGGTCACTTCATGGGGGCCTCCGGGGGCGCCACGGGGACATGGGAGGCCCGCTGGCGATTTTGAATTCTGTGTTGAGTGGAACCCAATTTCGATTCCAGTTCGATTGCCTCCTCCAGGGCTCATCTGTGGGTTATATCCGGGGCCCCCCGAGTCTTTTGGGGTTCGTTTGGGGGCCTCTTTGGCCGTTTTGTGTTCCTCTGCCGCCTTGTAAGAGTTGTTTTGGGGGGTTGCTCGGCTGGGGAATGCCATGGGGCCCCATCGAAAGCATCGCACAACAAATGCCCAATCGCTGAGATACAAAAAAAGATCGTTGCCCCATTGAGGCTTGAGGCCCTTTTCTGGGGGCCACCTTGAGGTTCCCATTGGGCCGCCTCGGGGTCCTAGTGGGCAATGCTCAGACGATCTTGGAACGTTTTGGAGTGCCCATGGGCCGATCAGGGGCCCTCGCGGGCAGTTTTCGGACAATCTTGGGACCCGGCATTCCGTGGTTTGTGGACAAGTCAATTTGGGCGCGTCAGAAAGCGCCTTGTAGCACTCGAGCGGGCTCCAGCGCCCGGAATACCGCTGTCCGTGCCAATAAAGATAATCCGAAGGGAGTTGAAGACATGTGACTTCGTGTTTCGGAGCACGGTGGCGGATTTACAAAGGACAACCGAATCTTCGCAGGGCTGTCGCCAAATCCGCCGACGCGGCGTTGTTGAAAGAGGGGTGGGCCCGCGCGGGCGCCACTTGACAACGCCAGGCGCGAGGGGCTTGCAGGGGCGAGTCAATTGGGGGAGGCAGAGGAGGAAGGAAGCTTCGACGACAGATGGAATGAGGAGTGGGAGGGGGGGACCAGCGCGTGACACCAAAGGGGCCGCACCATCTCAGCTCAGCCACAGCATTGGTGTCAGCCAAACACCATCGGGGGTGGCCACGGGGCCCGCCACGTTCTTCCAGGCCCTTTGGCGCGAGTTGGGTGCTGGAGGCGGCCTCAAATTGGACGCGAGCCATAAACCAAACAAACAAGTTACGGCAGATATAGGGGTGTCTTGTCGCACGGACTTCGACATGATCTCGTCGAGGTGCGCTGGGGCCTCGTTTGCGGCCACATGGCGCGTTGGCTTCGCATGTTTATCATTGTGGTTGCGTCGGGAGGCCTTCGGAACCCAGGGACACCTGCTATGAGCCCCCTTTGTCAGATGCACGACCTTGGGCCGTGCCCCACGAATCCAGTAGGAATGCTATCGCTCGCGCCGTGCCCTCAAACGGGCTGGCGGACATGTTAAATTTGGGGGAAATTGTTCGTTGGAGTACGGTTGACAGCAGCCCGCAGGCCGGTTGGGATTGGGTTATGCACGGCCATTGCACAATCAATTCTGGCGACGTGGTGCGTTTGTTCCGGATCGGCCTGAGACTCCAGAGGCTCGCGGGTGATGGCGACATTGATGCTGGCGAAGAATGCATGGATGAATTGCGAGCAGTTTTCAAACTCCGCCTTAACATGCCCACCGCAGTAGGCTCGGGCAGAGCAGACGTCAGGTACAAGGCGCACGCAATGTTGCATGGCGAGCGGCTGACTGCGCCCAGTTGGCGAGCAGCGTGTTCGCTTTCAAACTCCATGTTCACGCTCACAGGATTCAGGGTCACGAATGGCAGGGGGTGGTCGCATGCGCACGCGGTGCCCCCATGGTTCCATGGCGCCGTGCTTGCCGAGGGGGCACCTGTCGGCCTTCGATTGGCCATTACTTTTTTGCGTCGTCCGCTCCCTGGCCCTCCCGGGCAGCCGCCTCGCAGGGATCGGCAACATATTTGCAACGCGTGATATTAAGGGTTAATTTTTTCGGACATTCGCGCGAAAGCTGCTCGCGGAAGGTCGCGCGTGAGCGCCGTCATTCTCAGGCGGATTTCCGCGATTGCGGCCCGCGTGAGCCACCGAGGTGCGCATTCGCTTTATCACGCGTGGTGCCCCATATGCGGTTTCAGAGTCTGAGGCGTCACGAATCTTCGGATTGCTCGCGAGGAGGGGGGGCTCGGGGGGCGGGGGAGGCCCGTGGCAGCCGCGGCAAGCATCAGTGATCGTGGCGGCGCGCGTCAGGTTTCACCGTCACGAGCGTTGCTGGGATCACGGCGCACTGGCTGCCGACCATTACGAGCAGCTCGAACTATTCCCGGGTGGGGTTCGCTTCAGTGGTTATTGGTTTCCCAAACGGCTTGAAATCCCCATATATGTATGTCCTTTGCCCTGTCACGTGCCATTGTGATTGTCTGGCTCCGATTGTCTGCGCGCTTGAGTCCGAGTGATTATACCCGCTTCGGATGCTGAGCCCGGGGCCTCGTTCGAAGCATCCCCACAAGCTGCTCTGAAAGCAATGGAATCCAAACCGCCCGAAACGCAAACCAGAGGGCGGTGCTGCCGGGGAGGCCTACCATTGGGGCCTTCGGCGGGGTTCCCTATGGGGCCACTAAGCGCGTGTGCCGAAAGGTAATCGCGTGCCTATTTGACCCCTTCCGCGTTGCACCTCCGGTCCATACCTCGTTTATGTGACCCACACGTGGTCTGGGCTCCAAAAGCGATGACCCTCGCGGGGCCCAGACCCCATTCAGGTGACCCCATACTAGGCCCAGGTTCTATGCAGGAGGCCCCGCCAGGCCAAGAGCACGTTCGGGTGACCTATGAGTTGCCAGGGTTCCATGCAAGTGGCCCCCGCGAGGCCCATATCCCATTTATGTGACCCCCACTACTTAATCCAGGCTCCCTGAAAAGCTATCCCTCGGGGCCTCTTGGGGACTTTTGTCTTGCTCTCCCCTATCCGCCTCCCGTCGCTGATGGCGAGCGCGTCGGGGAGAGGGGGGTGAGGATGCAGGAGGAGAGGCAGGGGGATGCGGATGAGGAGGGAGAGCAGGCGAACGGACGCAGGGGCTCACCATAAAGGCCCCAGGAGGCCCCCGCTGGCCACCAGGCCTAGACCCCATGTGGCTGGCCCCATACTTGGCCCAGGCCAGGCCCCTTACAGATATCCGTCGGTTCACAGGGCCTCGTCAGCAAGAGCGGCTGGCTGACGCACGTCCCGTTTTGGAGATCCGCGGTCCGTTTTGGAGATCCGCGGCCCGTTTTGGAGATCCCCTGGGTGGTTTGACGATGACGATGACGGCCGCGACGACGACGACGACGACGACAACGATGACGACGACGACGACGACGGCGACGACGAGAGACAGTGAGGGAATTTCTGCCCCCACGGGGTTGGGCAGAAACTCCCTCAGACGACGACGACGGTGTTTTGTGGGCTCCAGGAGGGCTCAAAGAGCCCCCCAAGATGGCTCCAAGAGGCTCCAAGAGGGGATGTCATTGAATTAGACGCATTATCGCAGGAACAAGGATAAGTCGGGCGTGCTGGACATCTGGGAGTCCAAGTCGGGGTTCCACGGCGCAGCATGTGAGCAATTGGTGACCTTGCAGCTGTTGATTATGAGTGCGTCTGAGTGTGAGTGAGTCTGAGTACGACGCGGTTTCAATGTGAACTGTCTAAGTCTGAGTCAGTCTGAGTGTGAGTGAGTGAGTGTAGGTGAGCCTGGGCGTGCCTGAGTCTGGGTGAGTGTGAGTGCGAGTGAACCCGAGCATGCGCGAGGGAGGCGGGTGAGGGTGAAGCGGAGGTTTGTCAGTAATGACAGTAAGCTCATCCAAAGGTATTGGGATCAATCGCGTTCAAATGGGGTTCCCGACACAGGAACTCTGTCGAAAAACGGTTCTCTGCGCGGACATTGGCGCGCAAGCTGCAAGTGCAAGGTCGACCTTACATTGCCCGCCTGCCCGCGTGGCCTACCGCGTGCGGTCGCCGCCTCGTCTCGCGCAAATTACATGTTCTCCTCACTCAAATGGGTTCCGGAGGTGCGCGCACCCCGGGCGCCAGGGACTGCTTTCGATAATGGCACCTGGCCAGGAGACCTTGGCACGGAGTCGCGCTTGAACAAAGTGCGAGCGCCGCTGTCGCGGTTCGTGGGCCCTTGGGCGGACGCAGAACACGAGGCAGGCCGGCGTCGTCGTCGTCGTTGTTTGCCGTCGTCGTCGTCGTCGTCGTCGTCGTCGTCGTCGTCGTCGTCGTCGTCGTCGTCGTCGTCGTCGTCGTCGTCGTTCGTTTCCGGCAGGGAACGAAGCGAATAACATAGCGGTGTCCATGTGATTCACGGGAGGGCATGCAGAGGGGTGCGGAAATGTTGCGGATGCGATAGCAGTGCCGTCTCTTGCCCCCGCATTTTCTCTTTTTGGGAATCAACAGGTCCAAGGATATCATGTGAGTGTTCTAGGTGCCCCCCTGCTGGCCTCCCCCGGGGGCTGGGTGTTGGTGGAAACATTCAACGAATGATTCGACAGCCCATGGACGATGCACACGGCCCCCTCTGCGCTGCAGGCTCCAGCGCCGGCGCAAGCCCCAGTCGCATTTAACATTGTGCCCGCCGATGATGACAGGACAAGGGGGGCAGGGCAGGTAGCACGCCTGCTGCGGTTGGCGTTTATTTTTGTTGTTTCTTTCTCTCTCTCTCTCTCTCTCTCTCTCTTTCCTTCCCCCTCACGCACGCGCGCACTCTCTCTATCCTTCTCCCTTTCTTCATCTGTCGCCGCGCCTGCATCGTGCTTCCTACATTAGCGGGGCTTTCACCGACATTGGAAGCGTAGGGGCGTATTCTGCCCAGACTGGCTCCAGGCTCCAAGTATGCAGCGGCATGTCCAAAGTTGCGATTGATGGTGGAAAGTGGCCACGTCCGTGTGTTCGCGAGATCCACAAGTCATCTCTGCGTCGGAACGGTCCTTGTGCAAGTGTAAATCCAGTGGCCCTTGTCGTCACGGCGTTGCTGCTGGCCACGCCGTCGATCCCAGTGGACCGATTCAAGTTCCTTCCCCTTTTCTCCACCCCAACCCCCAACAGCCTCCTCATCTTCCTCGGGGGGGAGGGATTTGGCTTGGTTGTCTCAAGGCCGAAAATTGCGACCCCCGAAATTTCGAGATGGCCCCAGAAGTTATCCAATGTGGCTATCCCAGGAGGGGGCACAATGGTTCAGAACAACATGTTGACCGTTCTCGCTGGAGCGGGCGCTGGGCGCCCTTCAGGATCTCTCTGGAGGGCGGTTGTGGACGTCCTTTGGGCCATCCAGTGTTCCCCGAGGTCGTCGAGGGCATCCCGAACGGGCTGTACGAGGGTCGTCAGAGGGCTCCCGGAACCCCGGGGCGCCCCTATACCTTCACGGGGGCCCCGGATGGGCCCCGGGGCGCCCCCAAATTGTGAACCGCTTAAATCCTCCACGTCGGGCTTGGAGGGCCCCAGCTGTCCCAGGAGGCGTTCGAGAGGGTTCCCGAGAGGGCCCCATCAGCCCATGATGGCGTGGGCCTTATGTGCCTGATGGGCCCCTGGGTCCTCATGATTTCATTAGAGCTCCGGGGGCCTTGTGAACTTTACGGGTGTATGAGCCCTGTGGGGCCATATGAACCGCATGAGCCCAATGATGGCTCCCATGGTGCCCATGGAGTGTCAATTGGGTTTTCGATCGCGTGTTGCTCGGGCGTCTCATCGGGCTGCTCCCTGGCGTGATGTCATCAGCGGGGCCGCAGGGTGCCAGTGCCACCCCCGCCGCCGCAGCAGCCCCCGTCGCCAGCCCCAGCCGCGGCCGGCGCAGCAGGGGCGGAACCTTACGTAGATTTAACACGCACGATCTACATTGCCGGCCTTCTCCACCAGATTCACGGGTGCATTGAGGACATGAGGAACGTGCTAGTTGGTTGGAAACAGTTGGAGGACCAGTTGAAACATGTGTGTCTGATGCTTTCGCGGCCTTTTCATCGGCAGCGTCTCATGGAGACGTGTTTCGCCACTCCGCCTGGCATTCATTTTCGAGATGTTTTTACCAACTTCAACGCTCGAGTTTACGAAGGTCGGTGGGGGAGTTTTGTGCGTGCTGCGGGACACACTTTGGGGGTGGAGCGGGAGCTGCGGTTCGGTTGGTCGGTGGAACGTTTCAAGCTCGCCCGCTCCCAGCCAGATGAAAGAGACACAGAGCGTGTCAAAATTGATGTAGTCGACGCAGCAATAAAATCATTATTCTTCTGGGGGTATTTGACGATGGTGGACGTCGTGATGGAAATGTTCGAACACATAGAGGGCTGGGCAGAAGGATGTTCTTGCCATTGGAAGCCCGCGCGTGTCCAGGGCCCCGCGAGATGGGATGCCAGGCGAAAGCGCGCCCGAGGGCGTGATAATACCAAAAATAATTGTCCCTTGAAAGGGTGCCGCGCCCCAGAAATGGCTGCCGGCGCATTGGCCGAACTTATCAATTCGTTGTTGTGCAAAGCGAACACACATGTGTCTACTAGGCCAACGCCATCTTCCGCATGCCCCTTCCCTGAAGCGATTGGACGTTTTTTGTGTGGCGAAGCAGTTGTTGGTTTCCTCCCTTCCCTGTTTGGCAATTGACTCTGCAAGTGACGGCTGGTTGGCTGGTTGGTTGGATGAGAACCCAGCTTCACGGAAGTTTGGCGACTTTGTGAGCTAACCTCAATGGGTTATGCGTGGAAGCGCGTTTCGCAGCCTGGCGGCCTTGCAAGGAACCGGCGGATTGCTGGACCCGCACGTGTTGGCTCTGAACGAAGTTGAGAAAGGTTTGGTCATGGCGGATTTTGCACGGGCCCGCCGCCACGTAGTGTTCTATGCGATGGCTGTCGCCCCCCCCGCCCCCCCCTTCCCGAATATTATTGGAACATGTGAATGTATTGTTTTCCAGGGCTTCAGGGGCGCGTGCGCCCACTAGACCTTTCGGCCTGCATGGGTTCGCCTGTCTGGGGATGTAGGTGGAAGAGGCGTTCTCCATAGAGAGAGAGTGACAGATAGCGAGAGAACGAAGAGTCCTTAAACGTTCGTTTTCCTCGTGTCCTTAAGCGTCCGTTTTCGTCGTGTCCTTAAGCGTTTGTTTTCCTCGTGCCCTTAAGCGCCAGTTCTCCTCGTGTCCTTAAGCGCCCGTTTTCCTTGTGTGCTTAAGCGTCCGTTTTCCTCGTGCCCTGACGCATCAATAGTCGCACTACCACCGCAGTCCGATGCCGCCCTGGGCATGCACCTTTTTTCAGCATGCGTTCTCAAGTGGTTAGCCTTTCGGGGGCATCCCTGCATGGGTTAGCCTGTCTGGGGATGCAGGTGGAGGAGGCGTTTTCCATAGAGAGCGCGAGGGATAGTGAGAGAACGAGAGAGAGAACTGACAGAGAGAGAGAGAGAAGAACAATGAACTATATGTTCAGACAGGGCTCTTTTACGACACCTTTGCCCGCAACTGGCGGGCAGGCGGATTTTACGGCCAAGTCCGCATATTGGAATCAATTGCCGTGGTCCTTATTCGGAAGTGCGCATCCCGATGAGCAAACGGCCCGCGCTTGCGCCGTCAAGTCCCTCAGGTTGTACGAGATATCAGGGGAAGAGGCCACGCAGCACTGGCTTGTCCGTCTGTTGTGTATTCCTGGGACCCCTGGGCATGCAGACATGGAGTCTTTCATTTCGGGCAGTTCGAGGGAAGGCTTGGCAGTGCTAGAGCCGCTCGCGGCCAGAATGTTTTTCCCCTTCGTCGTGGAAAGGTGGATCGAATCGAGGCACGCATTGGCGAAGAGGTTCTTTGTCAACGCCCCTAACGCCACAGCTCTGCATCTTGGCTTTCGTTTTGTATTGCCGCAAGTGAAGGATATTATTCTCAATGCTGCTTTCCAGGGGTCCTTCAAGACACTCGCAGAATGCTGCGCCCAGGCCAAGACAGCGAACACTGTCGTGCGCAAAATGGGCTTGTATGGGCACCCCGGGATCCAAGAGCTCCTCGCGCGATCAAGTCTTCGAGAGTTGAACCGCTCTCTCCGTCCTGATGTTGTCAAGGTGCTATGTCATGGAGCTTCGCTCGTGCCATCCCACGGCCTTCGCTGCATTTGTAGCGGGTCTGGATGATACGTGGCCCCCGCAATTGCGGATCAGAGTGAGGGCCCAAGAGGGCCCCGAGACGGCTCCAAAAGGGCTTCGAGCAACATCTTATTTCAACTTGTCTGTCCCCGTTTCAAGCTTTTGAGTCCGCCTGCTGACTTATGGGTTTGCCCCATACTCCAATAGCTCTTGTCTGGATTTGCCCGATACTCCAATATGGCTTTGCCCGACACTCCAGATATCGCTTTTTGGGGTTTGCCCGATGCCCCAGTATCTGTATTCTGGATTGGCCCGATACCCCAAAATCTCTTTACTGGGTTTGCCCGGTGCTCTAGCAGCTCTTTTCTGGGTTTGCCCTATCTCTTTTCTTGGTTTGTCCGATATTCAAATAATTCCCTATCATCCTGTGGTGTTGGGTCCTCGTTTTGAAAGGACGGTGCCCCCGCGTTCCTCCTCCTTTTTGCTCCTCCCCCTCCTTTATCCTCCTATCATCCTCGTCGTCGTCATCATAAGCATCATCATCATCGTCATCAGCATCAACACCATGGCCACCATCTTAACTGGGAGTATCCCGCGCCCCGAGGACACCACAGAAAAGTACCACACTGCGCGTGGTACTTTTGGCTGCCCGCGCCCCGGGGACACCACAGAAAAGTACCGCACTGCGTGTGGTACTTTTGGTTGTTAGGTAGCATGAGCGCACGTGTAGACACCAGGGCGTTCAATTTGATAACGACGACAGGGCGTGGTCGAACGTTGTCGTGGCCGATGACGACGACGACGGCGGGGCGTGGTGGAGGCGAGGCGGAGAATGGCGGTGTGGGGTGTCCCAAGAACAGAGACGAACACGACGACGACGACGACGAACACGACGACGACGACGACGAGGACGAGGAGGAGGAGGAGGATGACGACGACGATGACGACGAGGCTCAGCCGGGGCGGTCATTAGAAGTAATTTCAGCGGCCGTCGACCACGATGATGACGATGATGACGATGACGACGACGACGACGGCGGGGCGGCCGACTAACCGGAAAGTTCGAACTTTCTGGTCTGTCGTCCGCTCGGCCGTCGACCATGATGACGATGATGACGATGACGACGACGACGGCGGGGCGGCCGACCAACCGGAAAGTTCGAATTTCCTGGTCGGTCGTCCGCCCGGGCGTCGACCATGATGATGACGATGATGACGATGACGACGACGATGGCGGGGCGGCCGACCAACCGGAAAGTTCGAACTTTCCGGCCGGTCGTCCGCCCGGCCGTCCGTAACCAGCCGACGACGACGACGACGACGACGACGACGACGACGACGACGACGACGACGACGACGACGACGACGACCGCGACCACGACCGCGACCCCGACCACGACCACGACCACGTCCACGACCAGGACCACGACGACGACGACGACGATCGAAGGCTTCATCGCCCCGTCCACATGCGCCCCCCGCACCCACTTCGGCACGCCTGACACTGTACGAGCGGAACATTGCACATTCGCGCCCGCGTAAATGTGAACCACAGCGGTGCGCAGGGGGAAGAAAAACCGAAGGGAGCTCCACCGAAGATGACATTCACAATTGCGTTACTTACAACTGCATATGGTTGGGTCCTTCGCCACTCCAATTCTTTTTTTCTGGGTTTGCCCGATACTCCAATATGTGTTTGCCCCAAACTCCACTATCGTCATTTCTGGGTTTGCCCGATTCTCAAGGGTTTGCCCGAGTCCGGGGCCATGGCCGCTTTTCGGGCACATGGTTCAGCTCCCCATTTCGTGGGTTTCCTTCCTCCTCCTCGTCCTCGCCATGTTGCTCTGGCGAATAACTGCCCGAATTTCCGCCCCGAGTTTCGGCCGCTTTCGCAGGACATACGTTTTGCTGGAAACCGTGGTTTCTGTTTCTAGGCGGGCCTCTAACGTTCAGATCCCTCCCAGACAACGCGCCTCAGAAACCGCTAGCCGCCAGAAGCCTGGAGGCCCCGCATGGGGGGGCTGGCGCATTTCACGTGGACGGGGGCACGCTTTTCCAGCCGTTACCCCCAAACGAGCCGCCTCCACCGCCTCCTCCACGGCCCCCGCCGCCAGCAGCGGGCCCGCTGGCGGACCAAGCTGCGGAACCCAGTGCCGCGGGCGCGGTGATAGACGAGATGGTGGCGTTAGAGGGCGTGGAAGATGATGCAGCCACGGATGCGGCCGAGCCGGGTGAGGCGTCTCGGGCAGGGAGGGCAGGGAACGAGGCACCTTTCTCGTGGTCTGTATGGTAATACTTCGGGCGATTCCCTCTCGAGCTCCAGCGCGCAGGAGCTCCATGCCCTCGTTGAGCTCTCGTGCGGCTGCCTGGGCTTTTCCTGGCCGTCTCCGGGGCCAGAGGAAGATCCCCCAATGGGTTCAAGAGGGCCCCGAGAAGCCCCCCCCGTGGAGGTACCCAACGAATCCCCCCAGGACGGGGAGGACAGAGGAGGGTGGGACGGGGAGGGAAACGAACGACTCAACAGAGTGTAGGGAGGACAGAGGAGCTTGGGGCGGGGAGGGAAACGAACGACTCACCAGGTGAGTCCCTAGGTTTTTTCCCTCCTCTTCCTGCCCCCTCGTCCTCAGGGGGTTTCCCGCGGCGCCCCCCGCCCACCTCGTCCTCCTTCGGGGGATCGTTCGGCCCCCCGCCCGTCTTCATCCTCGGGTGAATCGTTCGGCTCCCTCGTTTTGCTTTCCTGGTCCGCGGGCGGCGAAAAAACGGGCCACACGTCGTCATGGCAGGTTCGGGTTTTCCCTTTTGCGCATGATTGCTATAAGGACCCCCTGTAATTCCGATCGGCACGGACGGACATTGCCAGGTGGTTTGCAAGACGTTGCAGGGCCGTTTGCAGGGCCGTTTGACCAACATTGCATGATGTTTGTTATTTGGTTTCGTTGCAAGGTCTTCGCAGGGTCATTGCGGGGGTCTTCGCAGGGCATTGCAAGGGTCTGTGCAATTGTTCTTTGTTTCACGCAGTGTTTTTTATTTTTTGACAGTTCTCACCCCGTCTGTGCACCACTCTTGTCTGAAAGTTCCCGCTCCCATATCCCAGAGGGGTAGGGGCAGGTGGAGGCGGCGCCGCTTGCCGAAGAGCCGCCAGCTGGAGCCATAGACGCTTGCGGGCAGGTGTTGTCTCGTGTAATGGGCATTGCAGCTGTGCAGTATTTGAAGATGTTGACGAACGAGCCCGAGTATGAGAAGGCGGTATTTTCATTTGGCCCTTTCTTGACTACTGCTCCAGACGTGTTCACATCGTACTTGGCGGATGTGTTCGATCCTTGCCGGAAGAATGGGCCCCAGCCGGTCGCGGGGGGGGGGGTGGGGGCAGGCAGGCGCGGTGCCAGACTGGAGGGCAGTGAGGGCACGCGGGCAAAACTAGCATTATATGCCAGACGCAAGTAAGTTTGTCTTTTGCGCAGGCGTCGCTGAATGTACGCACTTGGATTGGCATTCGCGGTGACCTGTTCAGGGGCAGAGCCTTTTCGTGTCTTCCCACGACAATGGTCGCTTGGATAATGGGTAGTGTGGGCAGGTCGCCCCTTTGCTGCCAGCGGGCAGATTCGAGCTCGAGCCCGTGCCCCCGCCTCCCTGCGAGATCCTGGATGCGCCGGCGCAGCCCGCTGGCCGCAAGAATCTATTCTTCTTTACCGCGCAGCGTGCCACCCCTGAGTGCGTGAAGTTGCCGCCCGGCGCAAAGCGTCTCAGAGCTGCCAACGCAGATGCTGGCTCAGGTGCTCTGCTTTATATCAGGGAGTGCCCTTTAGTTGAATATAACAAGGCGGCCAAAATTGTCCGCGTCGCTTTAGAGATGGACGATGGGGGGGCCCAAACACCCGCATATGAGCGCCCCTCTTCCCTGCCACATTCCCCACCGAGGATTGAGGCGGATGGGGAGTGGGGCACGGATGGGCAGAGGGCTCGTTTGTTCGCGTGTTTTTCGGCCCCCCGCGATGGCCAAGGCGCCGATGCCGACGGCTTGATGGTGCTGTCGTCGAATTTCCTTGCGCGCCCGGACATCAGGACTCTCTGTGCCTGGCAGCCCGCAAGCGCTTTGCATTATTATTTCCAAGGCGTGTCCGTTCCAGTTGCGCAGTCGCAGGCTGGCCAATTATTGCTCCAGTCGGCGTTGAATGCGAGGCGTTTGGAGGGTGGTCAATTTGTCTTGGATGCGTCTGGGGAGTATGGGCCCGATATGATGGAGGTTGGGCGGATGCGTCGGCTTCGCCGTGACCGCCTGCACCCGCATGGAAGGGCATGAAAACCCATGGGGCGTGGAGCAGGCATCCTCCTCGTGGCCCGACGCGGCCCGTCGTGCCAATGCGGGGCTGCTCGATCGCGGCTCTGGTGCAATATATTCGAGCCCTGGCTCTGCGCGGTGACAGACGTCATCATGCCTTGGACGGCCTCGCGCTCCAGCTCGCATCAAAGCATATGCCGGGCGCTCCATTCGCTTGAGCAGCGGGTATTTGAACAACACAACAGGCTTTCTTCGACACGCACATCCGCAAACGAGGTGACCTATCAGTTTACCGAGTTCGGTTTGCAGACGTTTCAAATGGCGCATAATATCAAGCCCGTCCGTTTTCTGAGGACGCCGCGGCCGGGGGTGCCCTTGCAAGACCGATCTTATTTCGAGTTGTTGATGATGATGGATTCCGAGGGCTGGGTTTGCGAGCTGTGCGCACGTTCCAAAGATGCCGTTCCTTACGTCGTCGGCCAGTCCAAGACTTGGTATTTGAAGGACGCCCAAACATCGCTGCAACCTTTGTATCTGCGGGCGCTCTTGACAGCTGCCGACCACAAACAGCCCGTGCAGGCTTTCCGGGCACCGGCTTATTACAAGTGCATCTTGCAGGGCAAGGCGTACGTTCCGAAGCCGCGTCGGCAGTGCGGGCCATTCTGCATAGAGCCAGCGCGCGAGGGTTTAGCCGCGCTTGCACCGCCAGTGCCCGCCGCTGCACGGGGCCGCGGGGCCGCCCGGGGCCCTTGCAGGGGCGGCCGGCGGCGGCGGGCCGTGGAAATTCCAGGGGCAGCGTTGGCGCTTGATCTTGAGACATCCGATGTTTCCGATCACCCCAGTCTGTTGGATATGCTCCCGCACGATGAGGACTCGATCGATATGTGTGCTGTCGCAGGTTCCGCCGACGACCGAGTTTATCTTGTTACTTGCCCTGCCGCCAGTATGTTGCCCGCTGGTTGCCCGCGCAAGTGTCGCGCGAGGTCGCGCCCTTCGGCCGCGCGTGGCGGCACTCGGGTCCACCAAGGTCCGTCTTCAGATTGCACGCGCCGGCTGGCAGTTCGCCGCTCGGCGGATTCCTTGGGCAAGATGCTGGAGGAAATGGATTTCTCCATGGACGACCCCGCCGAGGGCCCTGCGGCCGAGGCCAGTGGCGCTTCGGGCGGGCCTGGCGGGGCCGCTGGTGCTGGCGCAGCGGCTAGCAGCGGCGCTGGCGCAGCGGCTAGCAGCGGCGCTGCTGCCGCCGTGATTGCCGATCCCGACCACGACGTCTCGGGCTTCAGGTGGCGTCAGATGTTTCAGTTTACTCCGCACTGGAACAGGACAACCGGCCAACAGGCGGGCTGGGAGGTCTTCTGCTACCACCCCGACCATGACCAGAGCAAGTGCAGGCGGCGCCGACACTTCGCAGCTCACGGAGGCCCACAGATGACAGAGAGACTCTTGAAGGAGTGGTGCATTCGCGGCTTGTGCGAGGGGGGCACCGCCGCCCACATGGCTTTGAAAGACCACCCTCCCTACATGGAGCTGGAACAGGCAGATGACCATCCAATACCCGAACACTTACTGGACGCGCTTGCTTCCAGCTCGGGCCCAAGCTCCGATGGCAACTCTTCCACTTCCGATTGAGGGGCCGTCTGCAGGATAGCGCATGGGGACAAACATACACGCCAGAGGATGTATTAACTTTCTTCGGTTGCGAGAAGATGAGATTGTATTTCGCATCGGGCCCAGGGGGTCCTTGACTCCCTCTTTCCTTCCCGTCCTCGTGTTTCTGCCTGTTTCTGAGACCATCCATTCCAGTTTCTCCCAGTTCCTCATGCCCCGTCCCTCGTTCCCCCATCCCTCCTCGTCCGCGTTCGCCTCCTTCCCCCATCATCCCAATCGCCTTCCCTCGTCCGCCTGTGCGCGGAGGGCGCCGTTCCCGCAACGGCGCCCTTCTTGAGAATGGATCGGTCTCTGTGGGATCACGTCGCGATGCCCCCCGAATCGGCGCTTCCTTGCACGTGCCCAGCCGGCTGCGGCAAACCCCGCCGCCGTGCCAGCGAGGGGGGCCATCCCGCATTCATCACAATTCTTGACGCTTCGCGTATCCCCACCAGCCCATCCAGAAGTAACTCGCGGATATGTGTCGCGAAAGGTTCTCGGATGTCGGTTGAAGCCATCGTGGGGCTCTCTGGGGGTCCTCGCGGATCCTTTTGGGGCGCTCTTATGCTTGTTACGGGCTCTCGGAGGGCCGGGGGACCTCTGAGGGAAATCATCGTGCACAGACGTGCAACCATGAGGGAGGACACCTGCGACACCATAGGGGGGGGGGGTCAGCCGTGAAACCATGAGGGGGGGGGCAGACGTGCAACCATGAGGGGGGGGCACGCGCGAAACCGCACAGGGGGACAGACGTGAAGCCACTAGTGGGGGTTGACGTGCAACCGTGAGGGAGGACACGCGCGAAACCATAGGGGGGGACAGACGTGAAACCACTAATGGGGGGCAGACGTGCAACCATGAGGGAGGGCACGCGCGAAACAGCACAGGGGGACAGACGTGAAACCACTATAACGGGGGAACAGACGTGCAACCATGAGGGAGGACACGCGCGAAGCCACGCACGAGGGGACAGACGTGAAACCACTACGGGGGACACACGTGCAACCACGAGGAACGACACACATGAAACCACACAGGGGGGGGACAGACGTGAAACCATTAGGGGGATTGCTCGGCTACCTTGGACCATCTTGGATGTCATCTTGCGCCCACTGAGGCCTCCTTTGAACATTCGTGGGCCATCTTGTTTGCCCGAGCTACATGCCGAAAGGGGGCTTTGGAAGAAACCGCAAAGAATGCGCTAAACCACCTACAGCCAGAGAGCTGGCAAGCTGCACATATCTCCATCGCTT